TGAGTGTGAGTGTGTGTGTGTGTGTGAGAGAGTGAGTGTGTGTGTATGTGTGTGTGTGTGTGTGTGTTTACCTGCGTGATGGAGCTGAGGGATGAGGAGGTGGGGGAGAACTGTTTGGGGTGATGTCTGCGTGTGTCTGCAGGCAGGATCACCGGGGTCAGCTGCGCTCGTCTGCGCGGGGATGAGCTCGTCTGCGGCTGCAGAGCAGAGGAGGAGCCACTGAGGGAGGAGTTACTGAGCCACGACTGCAGCGACTGGCTGCTGAGCGATGACCTCAGCGAGGGGGAGGAGCTTAACGAAGACTGGAGGGAGGGGTTGCTCAAGGACGAGTGCAAGGAGGCGGAGCTCAGCAAGTTGTGGAACGAGTGAGCGCTGAGAGATGATTGGATGTTGGGGTTGCTAAGCGACGACTGAAGGGAGGGGTTACTGGATGTGCCCAGCAGAGACGGCAGCAGACCTGCAGAAACACAAACACATCCAAAGGAAAAAGTAATGAAAAATAAAAAGAGTCCCACCCATCTCAGATCATGTGACACGACTCACTGGATTGTGATTGGTCAATGGCAGCATTCTGCAGTCAAATTTATATATTCACAATATGCATTGTTTTAAAACAACTTTAAAGAAAATCATAATGTTAATGTTCAAAATTAGGACTCCCAAGAATTTTTTTAAATCTGATTAATTAATGATGTGCCGATTAATCAATCTAATAATTGCACATCAATTCTGGCTGAGAAATTACCTGCCTAAAGATTTATTATTATTAGACAAGTCATTATTGTGTTGTGATGAGAAAAGACATTACAAAAAGTAGCTTTAGAAAGAAACATGTTGATTCAACGTTGCATAAATAATGATAATAAATGGGTATTCATGTTTTTAATGAATATTTAAATATGAAATTAATTTTTTTTTAAATTATACCCTTAATATGAAACTGAAAGCACCAGTAGGTGGCATCAACTCACTGTCTTAATGAGAGAGTCATTAAATCATTTATTCAACTGATTTGTTCAAAGAGCTGATTCTTTCAGAAACAAAGCTAGTATTTATGAGTGATTCACTCGATTTGTTCAAAGAGCTGATTCATTCAGAAACGAAGCAAGTATTTATGAGTGATTCACTCGATTTGTTCAAAGAGCTGATTCATTCAGAAACGAAGCAAGTATTTAATAATCTTGCAACTCGATTTGTTCAAAGAGCTGATTCTTTCAGAAACTAAGCAAGTATTTATGAGTGATTCACTCGATTTGTTCAAAGAGCTGATTCATTCAGAAACGAAGCAAGTATTTATGAGTGATTCACTCGATTTGTTCAAAGAGCTGATTCATTCAGAAACGAAGCAAGTATTTATGAGTGATTCACTCGATTTGTTCAAAGAGCTGATTCATTCAGAAACTAAGTATTTATGAGTGATTCACTTGATTTGTTCAAAGAGCTGATTCATTCAGAAACGTAGCAAGTATTTATGAGTGATTCACTTGATTTGTTCAAAGAGCTGATTCATTCAGAAACGTAGCAAGTATTTATGAGTGATTCACTTGATTTGTTCAAAGAGCTGATTCATTCAGAAACGAAGCAAGTATTTATGAGTGATTCACTTGATTTGTTCAAAGAGCTGATTCAGATGTGAAATCTATGAATCGCAAATAATCTTGCAACTGAATGGTTTCAGCTCTCTGCCTTGTAAACGACTAATTAATGTCATTAACATATAAAAGATCACCAGTCATCGTCCAAATCCTTTAATTTAGAACAGCTTACATTTCCAAAGACCTGCAGTATTGAATTTGTTTTTGTCTCACCTGATTTGTTAAAAACTTGAACTGAACTGAATAATGACGCTATTGTCTTCTGTTTCTGTTGAATCACACTGGTTTCATACTTGATGAATTGTACAACATCCACACTGTCATTGAACTGAATTGATCTGAATAAAGACACTAATGTGTTTTTAGAGCTGCTTTACAGCAGAATTGGTCTTTGTCTCTTATTTGAGGAAGTTTGCATCATTGATTCGTTTATTTTCCTGTTTATTACTGTGAATCTGTACTGTATAAAGCACTATAAAGTGTTTTGAAGTACAACTGAAGTATTTATGAATGAGTCACTGAATCATTCACTCAAACCACTTTTTCATAATTTTAATATTAAAAATGTGTGTATTAAATATATATTTTAAATACACATATATTAAAATGTTTAATAATTCATTCAAATTAATTAAACACTTTTAAATAGACTGTAGCAATAAAATTTTGTCCAGGGCTCTAGACTACAACCAAAACATTTTGAGAATGTGCGAATGTGTTAAAATTTGACGTGGTTGCATTTGTGCGAGTGCATGGTCTGCGCTGCTCCAAAGCGTCTGCTCCATACGGCACGCTTTTTTTAAATGTATTTGATTCCTCAGTGTTTGCTAAATGTTCTGTAATTTATTAGTCTGTATATATATATATAATAGAGCACGTGGTGTATGCCATGCCTGATCTTAAACGTTATATAAGCTAGTTTGTCATTGTATCTTACTGATTTATTGTTGTTGTGCTTTTTAATTAAGAATAACAATGAATCCATCTTTTGCTGCTTTAGTCTTAAAATTGAAAGGTGTACAGATATAAGCAAAACAGACAATTATCTTTTCTTGTAAAAAGTGACAAGATCGTGAATTCGAAAGCGAAAGCATCCGAAGCCCGCGGCTTATAACACAGCAAAAGAGGAACTCCCGTTCACAAAAATCAAATCACAAATAATACTACTGATTAAAATGAACAGGTTGAATGTTAAGCACTTTCATTTCCATATAACTATAAACTATTATAAGTTATATGATAACTATAAAAGTTCATCAGCATTCATTGATTAATCCCATGTAGTAGCAAAAAATAATAATAATAAATTGCGATGAAAATGTGTTAATTGTGACAGCAGATTTTGATTTAATTTTAGTCTTAGACTTTTGACTAAAATGCAATTTAGTTTTAGTCATATTTTAGTCATCTGAATTGTTTTTAGTTTTAGTCTAGTTTTAGTCAACTAAATATCATCATATTTTAGTCAACTAAATCTACAGTAAATTTAGTCTGCTAAAATCTAATGGGTTTAGTTACAGTGCATTTATTAAGCATTTCTCTAAAATTTCCAAACTCATTATATAGGTTTGATATTAAGGTTTTATCATGATAGACACCGATTTAACTGCGGTGACACAACATGCCTTTATGTTAAAATTAAATAAAACCACTTCTCATAAAGAACAAGAACATGGTCTTCTTTTGAATGAAATACCAATGGTTATATAGGCTAGATATGCATTTTTATAGCAACTTGTTTACCATATTCTTCATTCTTTCACGCAGACATATTTATTTCTATAAATAAATTTAGATTAATCTTTAGGGCTACTAAAGTTTTTCACGGCGTTTCCATTAACCAATGTTATGAGACTTAAACGTAACCTTTTGCCTCTCGCGATAAGTCATGGCAATGGATTTTGGTAGGATTTTGGCTATATTTATTCAAAGGAGTATCTTTACAGAAGCAGCAAAGAGAGCCGCTTCAGAAACGTGCGTGCGGCTGGAATAAACCATAGCCTGTATAAAAACATAAACACAAGCATTGAGTGGCCGCAATCAGCTTCAGTGACCGTACATATGTACGCATCTAACCTCCGAACCACGCAGCAGATTCGTTCTCTTCCCAAATCGTCCCTCCCTAACATTTTCGTCTAGTTTTTGTCATTAAAAAAAGAGTTTTAGTTCGTTATAGTCTCATTGTCGTCGGTGAAAAAAATTTAATTTTCGTCAACGAAATTAACACTGGTTACGGGAAGTGCAGGCTGGACAGATCCGGCAGAGAGCCACCTGTATTCAACACCATCGGGCCGTGAGGAGCGCCGCCCTGCTGGTCCGGAGACGCAAACACACTGAACACAAACACAGCAGTGACGGGTCAGATACTGAAAACAACAAACAGACGAGGGCTGGGAAAATAAACCGATGCATCGTGAATCCAGAAATGATTCCGCATCGATTCTGAGATTTTCTGAATGCGTGGCGATTCTTTCTCGAGTGGATTCTGAGCTTAGTTTTGAACACTGCATGCTTCAGGAACAGCCGTGCTCTGCTCGTTTCCAAATCCTTACACACACTTGAACCTAAAACAATCCTTCATAAGTTTCGAGAAGGTTGAAGCGAATCACAAGAGTGTTCACAGTGGGCTGTGTTTACATTAATCTGGCGTCATAAAAGCATTCTGAGCCGAGGTGAAATTACAGACTCAGCCGAACACACAAGCGCTCTTCAGCTCTTCTTCATGAGTGTTTGAGTGTGCAGATAAAAACTAGAGTAGAGCGCCATCTGCTGTTAAAATATAAGCTCAGAACCCATTCCAGAGAGAACCGCCATGCATTCGGAAGATCGATCCACGAATCGATTCTGCATCGATTTATCGTCGCAGCCTTAAAACAGATGAGCAGACAAACACAAAGAGACTAAAACATTAAAAGAGGAACCAGCGTCTTCAGCGGACAGAGATAATATCATCATCACCACACAGTTTCAATACAAATACAAAAACTAGAAAACACACTATCGGTCAATCCAATCACTGACTCTCAGAGCGGCGCAGACACTTTATTCTCCACAACCACTGATTGCTATGAATTTTATTTGTTATGTGCTTCATTAGCATCTGACTGCTGTAGCTTATAATAACGCAGCTTGCAATTAAATTAATGTATGAATATGTTCTGAAACTAAGAGTGAGAAACAAAGGCAGACACACACAGGCAGCACTGCAGCAAAAAAACAGAATAAAAAAACCCTTCGGTCAAGAAATACAGCCAGCCAATAACCACTTTAACCAAGTGTGTGCGTGTGTGTTCAGTGTGTGTGCGTGTGTGTGTGTGTGTGTGTGTGTGTGTGTTCAGTGTGTGTGTGTGTGTGTGTGTGTGTGTGCGTGTGTGATCAGTGTGTGTTCAGTGTGTGTGTGTGTGAGTGTGTTCAGTTTGTGTGAGTGTGTTCAGTGTGTGTGAGTGTGAGTGAGACACTATTTATATATATGCAAACAATCATATTTAATTAGGTTTTATTTATATATAATAGATAATTAAATAATTATATATAAATAATTTAAATAACTCATAAGCTTAATAGTTTAATAAGTGATCATTTTTGGTTTTA